TTTTATATTTTAATGAGTTTTTACATTTTTTTCTGAAATTTGCTAAATCCAAATTTCATTAAAAAATTAAAAATCAATTAAAAATCAATCATGCAGGGGCCTACATTAGATTTCATTCAGGTGTGTTTTCATGCTAAGTACAATTGACTTGAAATATTAGAGTCAAAAAACTGTGTTTCATGCAAAGAGAACATTACCAAAATAAAAATGTGATGATATCTTCTAATGGATTTAACACCTTTTGGGATCAAACTCAATGTTTGGAGGCTGTTCGTGAAGGGATATACCAACTTTTGATGCAAATGGATATCACACATGATGTAGATAGGGCTATAGTGTAAACTTGATGGTACTAACTCATTTTTGACCAAAAGGGATTTAACACCTTTTGGAAATCAGCTCTTAATTTACGTGCGCATCATTTAGCCATCAAATATTTCGAGCGGAGTCTGAACCTTGAATCTGTGGTCATTTAGCAAGGATAAAATTTATGTTGTGCATGTGTCGAAACTCGCTGAGTATTTTTAATTAATTACTGTGTAGTGTTTATTCAGGCCTGCTACATATAGACGCTCTCTACGGTTGTACAACACCTAAAATGCTGACATTTCTTTATCACAAGATGTCATTACAGATCGGTAAAGGATGAGCGAAAATGAAGACATTTTGATTCCATCGTTTATATATGACAGCATCGCAATCCGTAACATTAATTAAGGTGTTATCTGCGCTTAATGCATACTGTCTGTAGTCTGGATGCTAAATTGACATGTCGTAACTACTCATATATTAGGCCAATGTACTTATAACGGATTACAAATATAGTATTTTGTATCAGGCACATCTCCTCAATCAAACCCAAACGCCGCCGCACCATGGGTTACGAAAAATGATCGCTACGTGTTCACCTGCGTTAAAAAAAATAAATGCTCCAAAAAATAAATATTGCTCCAAATATAAGCAACATATGATATGTAACGTAACATTGAGATAATCGTGCACATACATATATCAACACGTTTTAATCCATTTTCGCTACAAATTGATTGACATGTCATAGCTACTCATATACTAGACCAATGTACGTGTGACAGATTACAAATTTAGTATATGAAAGCACATCTAACAAATAAATATTACTAACTTGCTTAAATTAATTAATTAAAAAATGTATAAGATAGATGATACGTGTAAATTCGCGTTTCATTTTAGCACGTGCCGCCCTACATTACATGAGGTGCTTTCGTCACATCATTATTCACGCTGACATGTAAAATGTTGTCATAATATTTTGCGTTTAATAAATGAATTATCGCTTTTATCTGCCTTTTTACGCTAATTTCTGCCTCTGTCCACACATTTCTATCCGCACGTAAACACCCATGCCATACCGAATAAGCCAGTTCGTAGTTACCGATACACATACGCATGCATCGTGTCCCGTTTAATGCGTACAGCTTCACGTGTGCACGATACACATACTGTGCTGCTTGTGCACCGATTCACGTGCTACGCCGATCCCCTGGTGCGTGTGCACGTACAGTGCCGGGCGTGCGTGCTGCGCGTACACGTGCGGCGCCTTGCCTCCCCCTGCCCTCCTCGTCATACGCGCTTTGACTGGTTTCCTTTCGCACGCACACCGTGCTGCCACACTAAATGTGGCGGGCGTGTGCACTCGTCACGTACCGTCCGTGCGTGTGCACGTACACGTGCCGCGTCGTGCGTGTGCACGTACACGTTGCCGTGCTACGTGCGTGCTGTGCGCGTACACGTGCATCGGGCGCGCGTGCGTGTGCCACGTACACGTTGCAGTGCGTGTGTCCGTACACGTGGCGTGACTGTGCGTCTGCGTGCGTGCGTGTGCACGTACATGTGCGGGCGTGCGGGCGTGCGGGCGTGTGCACTCTCACGTGTTTTCTGTTTTTCCAGTTTTTTGGCTTAGATGACCTCGGAGGTCAAATCCAATGTGCCCATGACATTCCGCACCAAGATTTACCCCTACTGAACATTTTTGACATTTATAGAGTGCTCCGTATTGGTTTGCATCGAGAACAGACAAACAGACACACATTCACAAATATGTATTAGATAGAAAATTTGTGACGTAGTCAATTTAAATTATAGCCCTTTTACCCAATCCCACCCCCTTTTACCCAGGACTTGATACACATAACTTAACCGGGAACAAAATTAATGATTTTTACCGCAGGAGAAATAATTCAACGGCAGTTAAATGACAGCCCGTTTATCCAATCAGAGGCCTTGTTACACATAGTTTAACCGTGGTAAAGATAATTATTTCTGAGTACGACGGCCAACCATAGTCCTGTGTAACGTCATGTTAGAATGGTCAGCGGGTAAGCGTGTCTATGCTGACCCCACGCACGAGTGGAAATGCGACTCTTCGATTCTGGAATGCAACGCGCGCGCGGTGTTCACATGCCAGTTTCCGTTATGTACACGGTATACTATACCGCCTATAATGGAATATCAGCATCCTTCCCATCCCTGTGTTCTATATTCTTACACCTGTTCTTTTATGTTAGTACCTACGTTCGCTCTGATGTGGGAAAAATGCGATGTAACAAACAATTTCGCAAAAACTATATATAATGCAACTAATTGTAGTATAACAGGTTACCTATTATTTATAGTACATTATTAGTACGTGTAACCATAGGGATCTTTCAAGCGGGCGTCCGATGATCTGCAACCGCGCAAATGATGCAAAAGATACAAATAAACAAAGATGGCCGACTTCAGTCATTTGTTGTTGCCGGATATACGCAGACGACTGCCCGCGTGGTAACTTAGCGAACCACGTACATCCCCGATAACAAAAGATACACACGGAGCCATACTTGCAGTAACTCAACACATTTACTGCTTCTTGGTATGACGTCACACGGTCGTAAGAGCATCACGCACCAAACTAGCAAGTTGAATTACAAAACATAGCCATACCTAAACACTGATAATAAAACACAACTAAACTAGACAGGTAAGATGCATAGAAAATGATAAAGCACTAAACTCAGATACGCTGTATATTAGGATTACGATTATGACCAATAACGCTTGTTAGTAGGTGCATAAAACTGCATAGTATTTGTGCTCCTGATTACAAAAAACCTATCAAGTAAGAGAACTTACTCAATAAACTACATTGAACTAAAATCTCACGGTTACTCCTAGATACGCTTACACGCATGCACACACGCACGCAATTAATTTTGTTATTATCTACCTCTGATATAGATAGATATATACGGTCTATGCTATACAACAATTATTAAACAGTTTTACTGACATTACA